TGTTGTCCGTACCCTAACAGCGGCATACCGTGAGATTTTTATCAATCAGCAACCGTCAGGAGTTCGACCTGTAATCAGGCGTAAAATTAAGGGGAAACAAGGAGGAAATCAAAGTGGTTGAAAGCCTCGCGTCACGTGCGCGCACTCTGTATGTTAAGGATACAGGCTATTGCTACTCCTGCTGATTTTACACTGTTAAAAGTTTTGCTAACCATTACATAGGTAATATTTAAATCTAATGTAATAATTGATCGAACTACCAAGTTCATCTCGTTCTTTTGATAATTCCTATGAACTATAAGCCAATCACATTTGAATTGTTTTTTTGTTTTAAATAAACTTTCAATAATTATACAGTTAAGGGTTAAAATCTAAATATTAATATAAAATTTGAAATAATTAAGAATATTTTTTAATGAATAAAAAGTTATAAGATTATTCTCAGTGCAAAGGGGATGAGTTAATAGTTGAAACAAGGTATTTACTCACTTTATGGTTTCTGACAGGCCGTGATTCCTGCTATTTGCCTTTCATGCAAATAGTCACATCTAACTTGGTTGCCATTAAAACGAGCCCCGATCCGGATGCTAGTTTCAATGGGTTCACGTTCTCGTTCACCCCTGCCCAGTACCTCGTCCTTTACCCCCTCCACCACCTCATCCTCGACCCGTTAATAAAGTTGCTCAAGTGTAGTCGAGTGGCATATGTTTGGTCCGGGGAGTAGGCAAGGGTTTCGGGCGAAGCTTGAGAGTGCGTGCGTGTCTGGCTTTTGTTACGTCACACAGGATTACCCATAATGAAGTGTTTTAATGCGTTTAGGCACACAAACACAGGAACTCAGGAATGGCTGGAGTATCTGGGAGTATAATTAAATTGTAAACATTTTACGGCTTGATATACTTCAATTATAATGAACGATTTTTTTAATGGGAATGGTGAAAAGTTTTCTGAGTTGGTGATATACTTGTATTTTGTGATGTGAATGCTCAGATAAATATTAATATTATAAATTTAACAAGATTACGTGAAAATCAAACCTTCTACTTAATGTAATATAAGGATCAAATCAATTATCAGTTTTGGCAAGATTCTGGTTTAAATAAATTTATTTTAAATATGATTTTGGTTACTAAAAATAACAAAAAAGCAAAAATAATATGAAAGCCTCTTGCAGTTTGGCATATACAACATTCTGAAAATTGCCTTTATTAGGCAATGGTTTCCTAACTTCCGTTTCCGCACCACTCGTCTTTCGTCCTACGAATTTTCCTATTGTTTTCCTGGCCTTTTTTCCTTCGTACTTTTTTTACACCTTAATGCATTTGAAATTTGATTTTATTTATTTTCGGACACATTCGTTTTGAATTGTGGCCCCGGAGAGTGAGACTCTGGGAAGGGAGTGGGTTCGAGGGAAAAACCATTAAAGAAATTACATGTTGTTGCCGGCAGCTCCTGTCCGCAGGATGGATGGATGGATGAGTGCCGAGGGTGTTGGGCGATCGAAGCAGAAGGATGTGCCGCTGGAACGCCGGGCAGATGGGGTAAATGCAATCGCATTGATGTTTAAAAAGCGACGACTATGGCTATGGCGCTTAAATGTCTGGAAATGGGCGTTAACATACGGTCGCTTGTGTGTTGGGGACGGGGGCGGGGGCGTGACTCGCCAGGCGCTCGTTTTGTGGGCTAAAAACATCAAAGTGATTGAATTGTTGCGATTGCTTTGAAAATCAAGAAAAGCGTCAAGGGTATGAGGTGTTTATTTTCAATGAGAGGGGTCACACGAACCATTTTCACATGTAAATTAAATTAAAATTGCCAGCGTTTGTAACGCGAAACAGGAAAAATAAGTTGAGTTTGTCTTTTTTTCTCGCCTAAAGTTGAAAACTCTTTCAGAAGAATTGTAAACATCACAAATGAATCCTTTTTGTCTTGGCTTTTTTTTATCGGAAAATCAGGATTGTTCAGCAATACTTACAATATTTAACATTGGTTTCTAAGCTATAAAATATAAAATATTTTCAATGTCCATCTTATGCCCAAAAGTAACCATTCAAATTCCTTTCCATCCTCTAATATTTCATTAAAAAAATAGCAATTCTTCTTTAATTCCTATGCCTTATAAAAAGGATATTTAAAGAGTACAAATTTTTGTCACTGTTATACCTTAATCGATTTCCATTTTCCATTTATATGTCATGTAAAATCTCTTTTCCGATTTTCCCCACGACTTAAGTGGCAAATGCATTTTAGCTGTTTGCCACTGCCACACATCGATTGAACATAATTCTCCATTGCAATAAATACAAATTAAGCGGGTCGAGAGAAGCTCCATTGGCATCCGAGTGCAGCCCACTTTCTGCCGTTCATCGCTTTTGTTTACCAACAATTGCCATTAAAATTTTAAACCACAGCAATTATTATTAATGGTCGAGCGGGATCTTTTTATAAATGTATTCAAATTGTAGCAATAATAAGAGAATGGATTCCGTAGGCAGTCATCGCCGGCTATAATGGCAGAAATCAATGGCAGTAATTTCAACGCCATTTTAATGCATCTCACTTTTTATCGGAGTATGAATGTTATAGAAATTGGAGGTTTAGATGAATAATTTTTTAGAATGAGATGAAATGATAAATGATTGTTCTAGAAGTTAGAGGAATATTTAATCTTTTTAGAGACATTGGCAGGTGTGAAGTGCCTATGGACGGAACCTTTTTCTCACGCCTTTTGTATTTTTCTTATCCTTGCACACTTTGTTAATTAACTGGCGAACATATCGAATTTCCAAACTCAAAAGTGTTAAAAAAGAACATCAAGGCGGCGAATTGCAAGCCCAAGAAGATGGCTAAGGATATGGCAAAGGATATAGAATAGATACGACTGATATGAATCACATTAGCTAGATTTGCATCAGGATTACGCGTTGCCCCGAACAGGAGCACTCGGCACCTTAAGCCCCGGCATTGTGACGATTGTCACATATCAAGATCCTCCGAATCTGGGCCAGCAGCACTCGAGATGTTAACAAAAACCTAAGCAGATTTGTGCTAATATGACGGCATCTGTTTGACAATGAAAGTGCGAGGGAGATGTTTCCCTTAAGGAAATGAAAAGAGATGGCGAGGTGCGTGTGAATGTCGGCAACGCCTTTTACAAATCCCGAGAATCCCCCGAATCTCCTCATCTTCAAGAGATTCTTCGAGTTCGGCACACGAGCGAGCACTGCTGCAAGTGCTCAAGTGTTTGTTTAAATTATGCAAATCTGCGCAAATCCTGCGGGCGGGCCAGTGGACAAAATAGCGATACGTATCCCGATCCGGAATGGTCTGGACCCTTGCAGACAAAGCGACGTGCACTTTTAATTGGTAAAAGTAGTCCAACTGTCTGGGAATTAGTGCAGGGCCACGGATTTGCTAAGCGTGCCCGCGGAGTTCCTGGAAATCCCTGGTATACACACACTCACCATTTTCGGGGCCCCCTCAGCAAGCTGGCCGTAATTACTTAGCGCTGCCTTTTAACGCATCCCACGACCCCAGCACTGAGGCCCCAACTCATAAACAAGTTAACGACCAAGAGCACTCGAAGAAATATTAACTTCAAAGTTAAAAGTCTGAAATGTATCATTTTATGTAAAAGCCCAAAATTTAGAAACAGGATTTCCTTTTCGAGTAAAAAAGTGCTTATGTTATATACTTTAAATAGTATGATCCATTAATCCACACCCAAGAAAAATTATTATATTATAAAAATATATTTCAATATAGTATAAAAATATGAACAACAAAGTTTTCAATGAAAAGAATTTTTCGAGTGATTTTTTTGCTAAAGGAAAGAGAAAAGTGCTGATGGACGCCGAGGTGGGTAGCCACTTGGAGCGCGTAATTTGCGCCAAATTACAGATGAAAAGCAACGAAAATTGTAAAAAGCGGGTAAACGAGGTGGGGAGTTGAGTTGGAAGGTACCACTCCTCTTCGGGGGGATGCGAAATTGGGGGAGGCACGAGCGTAATTGCAAACATGGGAATTGACTAATTGCGGGAAAGCAAGAGAGTCGAGCGCCATTGGCGGACCATCAGTGCAGGGTGAGTAGCAGTCAAGATCAGATGGGGGAAATGGTTATGGATATGGGTTCAGATTTTTGGAATGGAAACGGACTCGGAAACTAAGTGTGTGGGCGTTTTGCCATCCGTCAGATGTTTTGCCAACTTCAGGCCAAATATGCAAAAATATTTGGAACACACATGCGTCTTTCCTTATTGTTTCGGATCTTTATATTCGAACACGGCGGCATCTAGCTGGATACAAAAGTATCTAGATCAGGCATTGTAGCCAGGAAAAGACAAAACCAAACCCTCCTCGAGGGAGAGAATCCAAAGCCTGTGGATCTGAGCCGCTTTCGGGCATTTAGTGGATTAACGAGCGGCGAACAAAACACATGTAGTGCAAATAGTTGGTTGGTTGGACGGGTAAGAGGCTCATTACCATTGTGCGGCGTGTGCAGTGCGTGGTAAATATTTTGCTACACTTTCCATTATCCACGCCTGGTCTTATTCCACCGTGGACAATGCACAAAGGGCAAGGCAGGACGACAAGATGGACCGGAGCAAATATGGCTTCTGAGGGATATGGGGCGATGGTCTTTAATGAAATCTAAACTACACATATGACGAGGGCTGAAATCATCACTAAATATGCGTTATTGTGGTTTTTGCTAAAGGAGACTAAAAAAATTATTTGGTATCCGACTATCTCCTTAAATAGTTTAAGTTCTGTAAATTAATTACCTCTAAAATAGTTAAATAATAAGAACCTGATAAAGAAGTTTTTGGGGACTGGCAACTAGAAATATTAATAAACATTAAAAATGCGTGTATATTTTATTAAATGTTTTAAACCATGTAAATAATATACATTTGAAAATCGCGCCAAAACATATCGATAAGCGAAATCGAAATTTGTGTGCCCAGAACTTTTTGTATTTATGTCATCAAAAGCCGCTGGTCACTCACAGCTGTCAAGTTTGTTTTCCCTCTTTTTGGAAAAAGTTCTGCCGGTTTTTTGTCAAATTCTGACATAAAATAAGCATTACCATTACGTGATTTGGTCCAACAAGATGTCTTTCGTGGGACGCACACTCATTCGCAACGTAAGAGGATCGATATAATGGGAAACTTTTAAAAACATGCCACAACGATTACGTAATTGGCTGTACCCGCGTTCCAATGCATAAATATTATGCATTCTGATATCATTTTTATGCATTACAGGTGCCGCTGTTTGGCAAGGCCATCCTGAGTCAGCAGAAACAGTTTGCCGCCCGTCTCCTGCATCAGAGTGAGTTAATATCTATAATAATTTAATACTATGAATTGTCTTACACTTTGATGAAAGTTTGAAGTTCATTTTTTACTGGGCATAGTGATATCTGCCATATAAAGTGCCTATTGCCTACCCGTTACATTCAGAAATATTTAGTGTATCCGTCTTTTTAATCTGGAGAAGAGTTTCCATTTAAAATTTAAAGACAATTTATGATTGTTAATCAGACTTTCAAAGCACAAGAAAGGCAAGACTATCTTCTTAGATAATACTAATAGTTTATAAGTGATTCGGCATCCATGTGTTTTTCATAAATACATAATGATCTATAATCTTTAATTTGTTTTTAGCCACTCCACTAGCCGCAGTTCGTGTCCAGCAGCCCGCTCCTGACTTCAAGGGTCTGGCGGTGGTAGGAAACACTTTCCAGGAGGTGAAGCTCGAGGACTACAGGGGAAAATACCTGGTGCTGTTCTTCTACCCATTAGATTTGTAAGATGAAGCCGTTTTTACCACTTATCAGTATCTACTGATATCTAATCTAATACATCTTCACATTTGCAGCACATTCGTTTGCCCCACGGAAATCGTTGCATTTAGCGAGAGGATCAAGGAGTTCCATGACATTAATGCCGAGGTTTTGGGCGTGTCCGTGGACTCCCACTTCAGTCACCTGACCTGGTGCAATGTTGACCGCAAGAATGGTGGAGTAGGTCAGCTGAGCTATCCTCTTCTATCCGACCTGACCAAGAAGATCTCTGCCGACTACGATGTATTGCTGGACAAGGAGGGCATTTCGCTTCGCGGCACCTTCATCATTGATCCTAATGGCATCCTGCGCCAGTACTCCATCAATGACCTGCCCGTTGGTCGATCCGTCGACGAAGTCCTGCGCCTGATCAAGGCCTTCCAGTTCGTCGAGCAACACGGAGAAGTTTGCCCTGCAAATTGGAACCCCAAGTCGAACCCGGCCACCATTAAGCCCGATGTTGAGGAGTCGAAAAAGTACTTTAACAAGCACGGTTAAATATTATTTGATTATTTCTAACACATCTGAAACATTCACCACACAGAAAAAAAGACTCGAAAAATAAAGAGGTAAAAGATTGGAAATTTACATTTCATAATTAAGAAACAAACAATCGGTGGCAACTGTTAGCAGAGGCGCTTATTACCAGTCTTTTTTTCTTATCATTTTCTTTGTTTTTCAAACGAAGCACTTTCAAGTTTTTAATCCTGTTTCTTAAATACAGAATTAAAAACAACAAAACATTTAGTGGTTAAATCAAATAAAATTACTTTATTCCGTCCTTTATTTGAAGCATCGTAAAATACAAATGTGTTTTGTAGGCTTGTCTCGATTATCAATTATAATGAAAGCGAATAATATAGTCGGGGATTAGGATTACGTTCATAATTGATTGCAGGGACAGTCTCATGCAGTGGAGCACTATCGTCTAAAAATCTGAGCGGTGTCAGAATCGATTCTTTTAAAGTCCGAAAGCTTAAGTGGATGGCGGTGGAGGTGGCGGCGGCTGCGACAGGCTCAAGGCTGGTGGCGGGGCGCAGGGCGGAGGTGGAGGCGGCGCATAGCCGCCACCCCAGCCACTATAAGCGCCTCCGCCCCACGGCGGCATGGGCGGGGCACTGGTGCCAGGTGGCGGCGGGATAAGCGGTGGCAAGGTGCCCGGTATGGGGGGATTCAGTGGCTCCGTAGCCGGTGGCGGTGGCTGAGGTGCGCTCATCCACGGCATCAGCGGCGGGGGCATTGGGGGCACTGCTTGTGTACCCGGAGGTGCCGGCACATAGGCCGCCATAGCGTGTTCCATGCCAAGGCTCATGCCGTGATCCATCGCCAAACCGTGACCATGCTGGTCCAATCCCATACCGTGCTCCATGCCCATGCCGTGATCGTGCGCCGCCGCTCCCCAACCGCCCAGGTCGCGTTGGTGATCTCGCGACGAGGAGCTAGGTGGTGACTGGATGGCCTGCATCTGGGACGGTTTCTTATCGAAGATACTATAGCTAGCTCGGTGCAACTGCGGCCCGTTGGTGGTCGGCGGATCCGGTTTGGCCGCTGCTGGCGGCGGACCTTCTCCCAACTCTGCCATTAAACTCATGTACTCTTCGTCGATCTTTGCCTGAGTATCCTCACAGGCCATGCCCGGTGCTCCAGATCCAGGGCGCTTGTTCCGGCAATCCTTTGTTAAATGTCCCGTACCCCCACATGAGGTACACACAATCGTATTCGTGATAATCGGTTTATCCGGACACTGCCAAGATTTATGGTCTGTTGAGCCGCACGTACAGCGTTGAATGTCATTTTCTCTAAGGGTTCCGTTCAATTGAGCTAGCTCCCGCAGCTGCATCCTGCGCAGATCATTATGACCCTCGGGCACTTCGATACCCTGACGGATGACGTCTTTGATCTTGTCCACAGCCTTTCGCACCGCTTCAGGGTTCGGGGCGGTAATAAAGGCATGAAGAGGCTCGTCCTCACCAGGCAAGGGTTGGCCATCCTTCCGTCCCACTTTGCCCTCCTTCACCGATCCCTTGCCGCGAATTATGATCTTGGCCCCCGTATCCTTCTCCATAGCCTTGAGCGTGTTGCCGCGCGGCCCAATCAGCAGACCCACAAAGTTGATATCCGGGTGTTGCTCCTGTGGAATTAGCACTTTGTCGCTGACTCGGGTAACGGGCGGCCTAAAAGATACAGTTTAGTTGGACATTATCGAAAAAACAACATTCCACAACACTACTTACTTGTAATCAGCCGGTGGCTTGAACTCAGGGTTCACCGTCTGCATCTTGACTATCAATTGGTGACGTTGTTCTTCAAGTCGTTTTCTATAGCGGAACTCGCGCGTGTTCAACCGCTTGCCATCAGAACTGTAAATGGGCTCCGGCGAGGGGGACCTGCGGACGAGAAGAGCAAAGGGAAGAGGCGACTTTGGTGAGACTAATCTTGATCTTCTGGACGGTAGGATGCTATTGGCACTAGACTTAGTGATCTTAACATATATACTGACTAAAAACTGTTATCGAATATGCTGTAAGTTGCAAATCAAATTGATTAATTAAGTTTTTAATTAGCATTAGCAGAAAATAATTATTCGCTGGGGAATTGAGAAAAGAAGAATTTTGATTAATTCGTTCGATTCGGTAGCGGTTTCTATTTCGATTCTGTGTTTGTCTCGCACCCAGGATTTCTCTGCGAGAAACCCGAACTATCGGGACGCTTAGTGGAAGAAAAGAAGAGTTGACATTAATGAAAATATAGAATCTATTCCGGTTATCTGCAGGCGCTTACTTATTTTTCGGATGGGATCATTCAATCGATCACAGACATTGATCGCTGTCTCTAGAATCCCTTGAAGAGTATCATTAGTTTAAAATATTATTTTTATAAACAAATTATCTACAAAAAACCCAGTTTCCAGTCAGCCTTCTTTTACCCTTTTTGGAGTTATGGGACATGTTCGCCGTCAAGCTTAAGTTGAGTTAGGATATACACGGGATAGGACAAAACTTTTTACAGGTATAAACGTTACTCGCTGAGTCTTCGATTTAAGTTATAATAATAATTAATATAGCACTTATCGGTTACTGGATCAATTTCTTTCATTATTTCTAATATGTACATCAGAATTGAGTTATAAAATGAATGTATTGAAAGAAATGTTGTTACCGATATGTACTGTATTAACTTCTAGGTACAGAGTGAAACAACACTCCGCGGATCTTAAATGGTAATAAAGATATTTGTGGAAACCCGCAAATCAATGGCATGCCACAATGAAACCTGTTGGACACATGAACTCATCCTTCCAGACCGGTCGCCTTGACTTTGCGGATAGATATTGCTGCTCATTAGGTGTCTGGTAACTTTCACGGGGAAAACCTTTGATTGAGAGACTCAGTGGAGAAGATAGAACTGTTTCAAACCTTTCTTCTGGATTCTGCGTGATGCCCAGGTCGCCGGTTCGCAATTTGCGGCTGATCTCTTCGATTTGAAATTGAACTGCAATTAGAAGGCGTTAGAAAAGAAGGAAGAAAATCGAGCGCAACCTCGACATTAGTAAACGTCACATGCTGATTTGTCTAGAGAATGAGAGATATCAATTAAATGGATGCTTCAAATGAAATTGTGGCTATTGAGAATTGTATCGCGTAGTGTGTCCGCTCCTAAACTAACTGAAAATGCTGTGATCGTTACAATTGAGTTAATTCATTAATTATTTCAGTGGGGGGTAATTTGATTAGTTTAATTGCGCATTAATCTCTGCAAAAATAAACATAAGCCGAACAGCCATATAAGTGTTCTGTATACGAGTATTCTAGCCGATTTGGTAATGCAACTCATGTCGTATCGTTTCGTTTGTGTGCCACGCCGGAATCCCTTCAAAAAGAGAACGAGAGATTATTATATGTTGCTCAATTCCGTTTGTTGGTTTCAGTTTTAGGATTGGTTTACGATCTTTGCGCCAACTGCTCGTCGCCAGCGTCTGATTCTGAAATGTGGCTCTGTTTCTTACTCTCTGTTTTTTCCATGTTTATCATTAGACTTACGACTAGTTGTAGTACTTAAAGATTAACTTAGTTGCGAGATCAGTAGCGATCAGAATTTATATGGAGCATAATATTACCTAGATAGGCCTCCTGCTGAGCTGGGTCCAGGGTGGAGGGCAAAATTGTGGGCATCCCGGGTATAAAGGTCTTGTCATTTTCACTGCCACCCCAACGAGACTTGCGCTTTCTCTTCCGTTCTGCAGCGCTGTCCACTACAATTGCAATTTCAGTTCATAAAATATATTTCAAAAAGTAAATTGTTCTTATACTCACATGAGTTATCGAATGCTCCATTGCTATTGGAGTCATTGCTGTTCTGGTTGTTAAAGAACGAAGCGAATCCTTTGGTGTTTCCCGCGCTGCCCATCAGCTCCTGAATGGTCTGAGATAGGTCAAAGCGAGGCTCTCTTGCTTCCTCCCTGATGGTTTCCAATCCCTGTGGCTGCCTGTCAAACAGCGAAGGAATCCTCGGATGGTCGTGATCTTGATTCAATAAGAGCCGAGTGTTTGACGGGTCGAATGGGTTAATATGAGTGCGTTCTCCAGTGATCCGTTGTATTGGCGGGTCCCGCTGATCCCTCTGGCTGCCTCGATCATTACGCCGGCGTTCGTAGCTGCGACTGCGTGAGCGGCGACGACGACTGCGGTCATAATCATCGCGTCCACCGCGCGAGTTGCTACGCCTAGAACGTGAGTCACGATCACGATCCCGCTTGCGGTCACGATCACGGTCCCTGCTGCGTGAACGTTTTCTACGCCTATCCTGGTCATCATAATTGCGCGACTTGCTGCGATTTGAGCGGGAATCTCGGTCACGATCCCGATCCCGGTCACGCTCACGCTCGCGATCACGGTCGCGATCACGATCGCGGTCATCCCTTCGGCGGCTGTCCCGGTCTCTGCTGTCCCTGTTAATAAATAATAAAGAAAAAGTAGTTTAGTTTAAAGTCAAATGTGGTCGAAGACAAGGTTACTTAAAATTCATATGATGATAAATATGCTAAATGCTTAATGGTTTTCGATGTTTTATAGAAAATACGTTAAGGCTTTAACATGAAACGAGTTTATAACATAAAGTATATATATATTGCCAGATTGGAATACAATAATTTGGTATTAGTTTAAGTAATACCATATCGAAAGCGAATTAATTGATTATTTTTTAAGACCAACGACTTTGAACTTTTAAACGATCTCAAAGCCCTATTTTATATACACAATGAAAATTATGTATGCATGCTTTAAGGAACTGAAATTGTTCAAAACTTCTGTTAATAGGGTACAAGGTATAAATATTAAAAAATTTAATATGTATAGCATTTCCCAGTTAAGAATAACTCACCTCCTCTTTTTATCCTTGTCCCTATCCTTCTCCTTGTCCCTTCCACGATCTTTGGAACGGGAGCGCTCCTTATCAGCGCTTCTGCCGCTGCCGCCGTTGGCAGAGGCCGCTATAGCGGTTGAGGCTTCTCGGGCCACCGCCAACGAAAGTAAGTCCGGCGGCGTGGCACTCATATTTTCTTTACAACCCGTACACCAAAAACACGCTAATTATAAACACGTAAAGTCAGAATAAATCCAACCAATTTTTATATTTTAAAATCCGATATTTTCAGTATCCGGCGTTGCGTGTGAAAATTTTTGTGACAGGGAACGAAGCGAAAATGGCGACGTGGTACAGTGTTGAAAAAGACGTGCCGTTAGGCGTGAGGAGAAGTCACTGTTAAATGTTAGTTTAAATCATTATTGAAATATTTATTATTTCATTTATCATGATCAGTGAATCACTGATCACAATCATGAATACGGTGATCGTTGGCTAAAAATTATAAATTTTTTTCTCCTACTTTTTTCTTAATTCAGGAAATTACCTGGTTTCTAAATGGGTGGTTTCTCTTAATAACTGTTCCCATTTCCCATAACGGTGACTGTTCCTAGTTTTAGCCAATACTACTTCAGGCATTTTCAAAAGGCGTTAGTACATTTTAGCTTGCACGTGTGCGGTGTGTTTTGTTTTGCTCCATGAGCTCGGTTTAATTTATTTATATTAAAATTCGATATAAAACAATGGTGGCCAAGGGGAAAAAGGCCAGCGCCGATGCGGTTTATGCCAAAAAGACGGTGAAGTCATCGAATCCGTTCGACAACTCTGTGGCACAGTCGAGCAAGCGGGGCCAGAATCAAAATCCGTTCGATGTTCATGTGAACAAGGAGAAGTTCAAGATTCTGGGCAGGATCTGCAAGCATGACAGAGGAATGCCGGGTGTATCACGGTCCAAGGCCCTCCAGAAAAGAGCTCAAACCTTGGGTCAACAGTTCGCCGTGAAGCACAAGACAAATCGGTTCAGGGATAACCGAATTGGCAAACATTTAAGTGGCGATCAGCTGACCGAGTCAGTGATGAATGCCCGCTACCTGGCCGAAAAGATGTCCCAGGTGAGATCTAACCAGAAGGCAGAGAAGTTCAATCTCAACGACGACGAACTGCTGACGCACAGGGGACAAACTCTAGAGGAGATCGAACAGTACAGGGACGAAAGGTCTGATGATGAAGAGCTGGACGACGAGGCATTAGATGGTATACCTAAATGTTTTATCTTTTAAATTCACAGCTAATTATAATAACTTTTTAGCCGAGTTTACATCTGCTGCTCACTTTGGCGGCGATGGTGACACTCCCCAGGATCGACAAACCGCCATCGACGAGATGATCGTGGAACAAAAACGCCGCAAAAACGAAATAGCCAAGGAAAAAGACGAGGTGTACGACCTTACTGAGAAACTAGATGCCAATTACAAGCTCCTTCTGCCGCTGGTGGCGAAGGCCACAAAGGATGAACAGGACGCCAAGCCACCTCCAGATGCTTATGATAAATTGCTTAAGGAGATGATCTTCGAGCCGCGTGGCAGTGTCACCGATAAACTCATCAATCCCGACGAGCTTGCAAAACAAGAGGCTGCTAGGCTGGAGAAGCTCGAAAACGAACGATTGCGTCGTATGCGAGCCGAAGGTGAAGAGGATGAGGAAGCCTCCGTTGTAAAGCCTAAACATCGTTCAGCCGATGACCTAGACGATGGTTACTTTTTGGCTGGTGGAGATGACGAGGATGATGGTACGTTGGCCTACGATTTGGATGGAAATCTGGGAACTCATTTAGATGGAAAGAAGGAAACCAAGGCGGAAGAAAACGGAGAAGAAGTGGAAGATGAAGAGGGTGAAGAAGAGGAGGATGAGGACTCCGATGAGGAGAGCGATTCAGAGATCGACAACCTAAGTGATTTAAAGGAATCTGAGAGTGAATCCGAAGCGGAAGAAACTCCTCAGGCAAGCAAAAAGAAAGTGAAGAAACCAACTGAAATAACAACTGCCTCGTTGGACACCAGTATCCCATTCATCATTAAGATGCCCAAGACTTATGAAAACTTCACGGAACTTCTTTCCAAGCACGCACCTACCCAGAAGGCCACCATTATCGAAAGAATCATCAAATGTAATCATCCCAAACTGGAAGGTGTTAACCGCGAGAATGTAGTTAAATTGTATTCTTTCCTGTTGCAATATCTCAAGGATTTGTTTGAGGATGCCAGCGAGCAAGACATTCGTGAACACTTCCAACTGCTCTCAAAGTTCATGCCCCATTTATATGAATTAACACAATTAAATCCTGAACGCATGTCCAATACCTTACTGGAGGTAATCAAGGAGAAATATGGAGAGTTTAGAAAAAATCACAAGATATATCCTTCACTAGACACACTAATTTACTTCAAATTGGTGGCCAACTTGTACTCCACTTCAGACTTCCGCCATCCAGTAGCAACTCCTTGCTTTATTTTCATGCAGCACATCTTGTCCAGAGCACGAGTGCGAACGCGTCAGGATATATCCATGGGTCTGTTTCTGGTTACCGTGGCCTTAGAGTTTGTTTCCCAATCTAAGAGAGTGCTCCCAGCTGTTTTTAATTTCCTCCAGGGTGTTCTGCACATGTCCATACCCAAGAGGGACGTAGAACAGTTGGAGATTACGCCGCCCTTTGAGCGCGATGGTCCTTTGAGCAAACTGCTGTCACTCCCAAGCAATTCTGAATGCAAGAACTTCGAGCCGCAGCGGCTACAGCCTGTGGATTTGGTAACCCAAACAGTAACGTCAGAGTTTAAGGTAAGGGCACTAGATACAACACTTCTGCTTATCAAGGAAGCTCTTCACCTCGTGGAAGAGCAGGTTGGTGCTTGCTACCTGGCCCAACCATTCCTGAGATTGCTTACCCGCCTACCACTGGAATCCTACCCGGCACATGTTCATCTGCACCAAAAGGAAGCTACCGAATTAGTGGAAAAGCTGGCTGCGCAGAAAATGAAACCATTGGCTCCAGCGGAACGGAAACCAAAAGCTCTAAGGCTTCTGGAACCTAGATTCGAGGCGGTGTATGATGACAAACGGCGACCCAAGATGACAAAGGCCAAAGAAGAGCGGGCCAAGCTACTGCACAAGATCAAGCGCGAGAAGAAGGGTGCCATCCGGGAGATTCGCAGAGATACAGCCTTCGTCCAGGAGCTTAAGCTCAAGCAGACACTACAAAGGTGAGTATTTTACTTTTAAGGGGATAAATATTTATCTAAAAAAATGTCTCCTAATTTTACAGCGACAAGGAGCGCCACGAGAAGGTCAAGCGGATCTACCAGGAGGCATCCATGCAGCAGGGCGAGCTCAACGAGCTGGCTCGTGCCAAAAAGAAGAAGAAGTTCTAGACGCGTTCCAGTTAGGTTGATCTTGAATTAGTTTTTAGCTAGACTATACATAAAGCTGAGAGTAAAGAACAGAGCATTAATGCTCCCATTTTAAAATCACAAAATCGACCTTCAAAATTGTAAATACATATATAGTCTTGCGAATCTAATAACCTAGATTATGCTAGGAACAACAGGGTGGGTTGATTAATTTCTATAAATATACGTCCCCCTAATGAACTAAATTAAGTTGGCAAATTTTGGGCCCTTGTCAAGGCAACATACATTTTTTATCAGAAATAATGAATTGATTTTTAAAAATTTATTCTTATAATTAACTCCCTGAGGACAAAGCATAAAATAACATATTAATTCCCCAGTTTTACGATCTGATAAGATTTGCTTATATGTACATACTTTGAAACTATAATTAGTTTATAAACTAAATATGGTATAAATAGAAACCTAAACCGTCTTTCCTGAGATTTGCCGACATCGCAGCGTCGCTTGCTCCACGGCTCCAGACACAGCAGCTCGAAAACCTGCAATCGGCATCAAAGGTTGAATTGCCGGCGATAAGAGAGTACGTCATCCGCGTCATCATCACCACTTACCTGACAGCTCAAGTTGTCTGAGGGCTGCTGCGGTCGATCCAGCCGGACTTGTGACCCCATCTTTAAGTTGCCCTGGATGCAGTCCACTGTCCCGCACCATATGACCGGCTCCTAGGACGGTTTGGGATGCCAAGCGATAAGCCAGATCTCTGGGCATTCCCATGTGAACGGCTCCATCTGCCAAAGCTTCAATCATTACGAACACATAGGCAGGTCCACTGCCACTTAGAGCAGTAACTACGTCCAACTGGGATTCATCTACCGCCTCACAAGTGCCCACAGACTGTAGGAGTTTTTGCGTAACCTCTGCATCTGCATCGGTGGCTTTGGTTCCACGAACAAAAACCGAGCATCCAGAGCACACCACTGCCGGCAGATTGGGCATCACGCGTATCACACGAGCTTGCGGTGAGAGACTGGATTCGATTGATGACAAGGTGATACCCATAGCCACGGATAGGAAAAGTTTACCGGAGCTCAGTGGCTGAATCTCCGATAGGACAGCGGGGACCACTTGAGGTTTTACTGAAACGAAGACTACCTCCGACTTTTCAACAACAGGTGCATTATTAACCACTGTTTCCACTCCCAGGGATTGAAAGGATTGCAGGGAGAGCTTATCCGCCGGATGAACACTAGCTATCAAGGTGTTAGGTTTGGCCAAATCTGGAAATTTTAATGACATAACATCAGCTTAAAAGATGAAAGACTTCGAAAGAATATCCCTATCAGATTTCTTATCTTGTAACTATATCCGAAGGTTACATGAAGAGTACCTACATATGAGCTATAAATAGATTTTCTCACCTGTTGCCAGGAATCCCTTGGCCAGAGCTTTGGCCATATTGCCACCGCCCAGGAATCCGATTTTTCCGATGGCCGACATTATGTTATGATGGGGTAATTCTGTGGACTGAGTACTGCACTTTGTGCTGGTGGATTTAGAACTGTTTTCCCGCTGCCGGCGTTGACCGAAAACAGAACGAGGAGACTGATAAGAAATCTGGCTCGGTCCACCTCCCCCAACCCCCTACGATGTGCAAACAACAAACCCAACGATCAAAGCTTATCAGTGGGAGTTCCTGTGTGTTGGTTTTATGTACGGACAGGGCACAATAAAAAATAACAACTTCACACCATATTAGTAATTAAAAATTGAAGCTTTACAAATGATTTCTTTGTAGCTTATTAATAGGGCAAACTATAAACTATAATCTATAAAAATTAATCTTTTGTAATTTATATAAAATGAAAAATAATTAATTAAGAAGGTTATTATTTGTTTAATATAAATGTGTTGATTGTTATATTGAACTGTTTAAAGATACGGTCAAGTGCTAATATTCTTACCGAAGTTGTGTCGCCTTTATCTGTTGGAGCTGCTTGTGGCCTGGGATTCATTCACCCATTAGCTGCCATGACGAAGTCCAAATTTCTGCGAGATTCCGGTGGCCCTGTAATCCCTCTAATCGTCCATTGATCCATTATGATGTTTGGAGTTCTATTTTTGTACATCACGGGAATGTCAAATTGGTTCTGCTTATTTACCAAGATTCAAAAATATTCCGCACTTTAAAAGATAACGATTGTTATCAGTTGAGTGTGATAACAGTAACGAATAACAAAAATAACCCTTTTATAAGAAAAAGTGATACAATGTAGACGCGTATATTACTTGTTAAATTATTGTACTTTCTACTTTTCATAAACTTGAAAGTTCGGAAAGTTTTATAAAACAAGAGCACTTTTAATGAACTTGAAGTTTTATAAAACAAGAGCACTTTTAATGAACTTGAAAAATTATTATTTGGTTCTGGAAATTATAATATAACAGAGATCACAGGAACAAATTATAGGAAAATAATAAAAAAAAGGATAACCGTTTAAGTACTTGTATTTAAAAAAAAAAACACTTGTAAATCTTCGTTAAAAAGATTTTTAAAATTTGAAAATCGATAACAGATAACAATCGCTTTGGCGTTAGTGCGTTCGTATATCTAGCGAGTACACACGCCAGCGAAAGACACTCGTAATTAGCACAGTTTGTCACCACAATATCGATTAAATGGCAATTATTGTTTCATCTCTAGTCGAGAGAAATTTTTATCGACGAAATAGTAATTTAGCAATTGTCGAGCGCAAGAAACCGATTCAAAACACACCCAAAACCTTTTATAACGGATTGCGACTTACCTATTGCTTCGGATTAAAATCGAGGATATATCAAATCAATCAAATTCCAGCCTTAATTATCTACCTGCACGTGTATTAGTGCCAGTGCTTGTGTGCGTGTGGGTACAAGTGCGCCAGTGTGTGTTTGTGTGTGTGTTGTTTTCTCACACAATTTAGCTGCAATTTAAAAAAAATCAACAAAAGCGCAGTAACAACAGCAAAAACAATTAGGAAACGCATTTATTTCCGAGGTTGTTTGCTTATACTAGAAAAATAAACAATAAAGAATTGAGTTGGAAAAACTGGAAATTGCATGATAAACAAAACGACGAAGAACCTTCGACAGCTCCAAAATTCTGAGGAAGGAGGGTACGTATTGATATTTATAACACCAGATACGGACCTAATTCATTTGCAAATTTATTTACAGGGCCACGTCGCTATCGCTTATCAATTGCACTGAGAGAAAAGAATAAAAGCAAGCCAGTAGGCCAGTCGTGCCCGATCGTTGCCACCAAATTTCCAGTCCCTCGTTTCGGGCAATAGTAATTTACACAGTTTCCTAAAATTAACCAAAACAAAAACAATCATGTCCACGTCGTCGGCGTCTGGCGGCCGGAAGCAGCCCACCGCCGTGTCGCGCATGAAGCAGGACTATATGCGCCTTAAGCGAGATCCCCTGCCATACATCACCGCCGAACCGCTGCCCAATAACATCCTCGAATGGCATTACTGCGTCAAGGGACCGGAGGACTCGCCATACTACGGCGGCTATTACCACGGCACCTTGCTCTTCCCGCGCGAGTTCCCCTTCAAGCCGCCCTCTATCTACATGCTGACGCCGAACGGACGCTTTAAAACCAACACCAGACTGTGCTTAAGCATATCAGGTATTACAGAGAATTCTACGGAAATTGCATTATCAATTATAAAAGAGAAATAATTCTCAAAGATTAAAGCACTTCTGATATAAGATGCCATTGTTTATCTTAGTGTTATCCAAACATGTGCTGTAATAACTTACTACTCAAGCTTTCCAGGTTAGATAGACATTTGGCAGCAGAAATTCTGATAACGAGTAACGAATAATATTGATTTCTTATCTTATCTGTAGTAACTAAAAAATGATTTTAAAAATGCTTTTTAAATTTATATAATCAGCTAATATCGAGGTAGACTACTTTGGAACAATATTCATTTGCCTTTCGTTAACTATATACTTTGTACACAATGTGTGTAAAAAGTGTTTATTTCTGTTTTGAGCCGTTTGCCAATAACCGATAATTGCAATAATAAAAATGTGTTAATTTCTTCAGAATATGAATCAGAAGTAAACAATGAAAGAAACCTATTTTGTTTTAGCTAATGATCTTTTCTATGCATTTTAGACTTTCATCCGGACACTTGGAATCCCACTTGGTGTGTTGGAACTATTCTCACTGGACTTCTGAGCTTTATGGTAAGTTTTTCTTTTTTAGTATTTCTATCAGTATACATAAATTAAAATAATACTTATTTCGCAGCTGGAGAGCACACCCACACTGGGATCCATTGAGTCATCAAACTATGACAAGCAAGTATTTGCTCAAAAATCGCTAGCATTTAACCTGCGCAACACCAGTTTCTGTGAGCTGTTTCCCGAGATGGTAGATGAGATCAAGCAGCGATTGCAGGGAACCCAGGCGGCGGCTGCGGCAAGTGGAGTTGCGTCCACTTCGAACGGGGCGAAGCGTTCCAATGGGCTGGCCAATGGAGCCTTGGCATCTGGAGAAGGCAATCTAGCAGCCGGAGGCTTGGCTAATCCCCATAATACAGCGGATGCGATTGATGGAGCGGCGGGTCAAGTGGATTTAGCCAGTGGCGGTGGAGCGTCAGCACTGCAAAATAGTGCACGGAATTCCTATCTGAACTGGCAGTCCGTCTATTCAAACCTAGTGATCATCATCTGCTTTGCGATATTTGCCCTCATTGTTAATTACGTGATCAAGAACCTGAATCAGGAATAGGATTAACGAAACCGCCTCTATATTTATATACAAATATAGTTACACATCCGTATGCGATTGCATATTTAATATAGTTTACTCTAAAGTAGTCTTCGTGGATTCAGTACCGCTTGAGAAGTATTTACAGACCCTGCTATAACCCAAAAATGACCGCCTCAGGCCCCGCCATCCATTCCCCACTATTCCCACGATCGCTGTTTAGTCTGAATATATTGGCAATAACAACTTGATACACAGAAACACATTTCTAAACTCAATTTGTGAAAATTATAAATTGTTTTGTTATGTATTCATTACTATTAATGCCTAGTTTAATGCAACGTGAATGAAGCCAGGAATATGTTTGTAAATGAATAAAGAAGAACGGCAACATATGAGCTCGTGTACAAATTAGCCAACTTTGTTAGTTTCTTCCTATTAAAATGGATCTTAACTTCCAGCCAACAGAAATTTCCCGATGTTAATTCAACTTATATAATACGTTGTAATTTGTAGTTGGCTTTACGCTGGCTAAGCAGCTTAAGTTCGAAGCAAAGTCGCCTGCTGCCAACTATAATTTTCCCTCATTCTCGGCGAGTACGAGTAAATCCAATAAAGTGATGCCAGGGTGGCTAACAATGTTTCACATTTAAACCGCTTAACACGCCCACAAGTCTGCGGCTACTTTGTTGGCCATCTTAAGCCAAAATTACACACATGACGCTTATTACTGGTGAAGTTGGGTAGGAATGACCAACCTTGTTGGTTGTGGTGAATTATGGCACCTGTTGTTATAACAAATTATGTCCTGGAAGTTAAAAATACAGCAAGGGAGAGTCAAAGGGTACAACAAATAAAGCGAAATAAGCCACTATTTCAAACAACAAATAGGGTACTACTTTTACTTTATCAAAATTATATTTTCTATTTTCTGTATTGTGAAGTTATTGTTTTCTATTCGAAATTGCCGAAAATATCATAAATAGGGAATCCGCTTACTCAGCAGCTGCGGTGAACTCCTTAAAAAAATAAAATGAAACGAATGGACAACTTCATCTTGTGATGAAAGTTTTTTGGCCAGACGGTAAAGTTGATAATTTAACTAACGTGAAATTCAAGTTCATGCAGCATGGCAAACTTTCCGACTGCGGCTGGCAGTTGCAACTTTTCAAATTTGGTTGTTTGTTTTATGAACTTGCAACAGTTTAAGCCAATTTTGGTTGCACAAAGAGAGAGAAACCCACGAGCATTAAATGATATCCCGGATGGCAAGGAAAATGGAAGACACACAGACCCCATAACCGAAACATCTCTCTGCTAGTGTCATCAAGTATTTTTATGGGTAGTGACGATGGGCGGGTATTTTGAACTCGCTTTTGCTGCTTTTTGCTCGAAAATGTATTTTGAGTGCCCACCAAGTTGGCGACTGGACTCCAAAGACCAAAGTCCAAACTGTCTCCTGCATTTCCGCTTTATCCTTTTGATGCTCGTGCGGATGTGCAATTTTTGCTCATTTGTTCATGGCATTTATAAGCTTCAGTTGCCCAAAAAGAGGTCAGTGGCGTTGGATTCCAAGGAGTTCATTGTTCGCCAACCGAAAACAAATCCCCAAATGTGCCGGGTCCGGCTTAAATGCCCAACAAATGGCTGCAGGACATTAGTTGACGGCAATAAATGTCGATGCTGCCGGGCTAAGCCGCTTATCCAGAGCAAATAAGTAAATATGCGCGAGTAAGCCCACGAAAACAAAACATAAATGGAGTGGTCAACGGCAATTCAATGGTCGCAAGGGGAAGGAAGTCGGCCTACTGAGCCATAAAAATAATGGCCAAAACAAAACCGAGTGCCCATGGCCAAGACATGGCCGGTCAGATAAATAAATATAAATAAATAAAAATAACAAATGCTATAATCATTAAGTACGTCTCATTGGCGGGCATGTGCCCCCAAGTTCGCTGGCCATCTGCAACTGCCTTAATGCCGTGAGTCGTGCACGGCAAATATAAATATATTACAAATTTGTTATTAAGATATTTTAAATTTCAATATAATGTTGATTTATTTATTTATTTAATATTATTATATGTGCTGGTGTAATATGGCAATATGAAAATAAAATAAATTCTAGATTAAATTATATACTTATGCCAAAGTATAATGATTATTCTTAAAATATTCAGATAAATTATTTATATTTCTATATATTGGTAAATATTAATATATCAGTACTATTTTTTTTTCTCTGTTTGTGTTTCTTGACCACCCCAGGGGTCATAAATGTTACACATCCGCACACAGAAAAACCCACACAAACACACTTAGATGCGCATATAAATGAAAATGTTTGTTGAATTATGTGGGTAATATACGTTTATGCCTGTGTCAGTGTGCGCAATAAACGATAAAGCATAAACTTAATATGCAAAGGCCACGCGAAAATAGCAACAGCCGAAATGTATGCTATGTTTCTGTTTATACGAATGCGAGTGTGTAAGTGTGTGGGAGCTGGCATCTGAGCATTCTCTTTATCAATGCATAAACAAATGGACATCAGCTGCGAATTATGTTGGGATTGCCCAAGCGAAAGGGTAAGTGGGGTGAACTGGGAAAAGGACCTCACAAGTGCTGGCGAAAGGTTAAATATAAAAGCAAAGCTAGATTAGAGATTTATGTTATTATTTTTGGAATGTAAGCTTTGGAAAAGTCCCCTTTCCTAAGGACTAGGATTTGAAAAAATTTAAACATTTGGGATATAAATAACGAGCGTCATCATATCAACATATTATCATCATATTAAATATAGATTTTTTGTTTTATTTGATTTCTCTGAAAGAGAAGAGATCATAGCATTCTCGTTTTTTTTACACTATTTTCTTCACAGTATACCTTGGCTTAAGGTTCAATCAAACAATAAAATCCCTTTTCTGCAGGAAAAAGAAAATGTATTTATTAAGGTAGAGAATTTCCATAAATCGATAAGTGATAATAAGCCAGAGCTTCCCATTTGCTCGCACATGTACTTCCACATAAGGATGCGTCGAAAGGATGAATAGTTGTTCGGTGAGCAGTTACTGCAATGGTCAATTGGAGAGCTGGACAATCGTTAATTCATCCTGTCAACGGACTGGAGCTCGTTAACTAGCGGAAGCCGTGCACTTGGACGCTAATCTATGGCCCCATGATGAGCTTTATGGGCTGACCAGTCCGCTTCATCATCATCATCATCCGCAGGAGTATCATTTTTCGGTGGCACATTGTGTTCTGGAAATTGTGAATTTGGCAAAATTCGCTGGACGATTCTAATGCGACCTGATGCGCGGATGGCAGTGAAAAAACTTTACTCACCACTCAACCGCAGCGCCATAAATTTCAATTAGTGCGGATGCATTTGGGCATTTGCATGTTCCAATTTTGAATTATGAACTCTGGATTTTCCCAACTGACTAATTGCTGATTGAGTTGCGTTTGGAACTGGATTGGCCTTTTGCCGATTTAGTGGATCAACCAATCAACGTCTGATTGTTGGCCAAGCCGAGAGGCAATTAGGTCACACTCTTGGTCGAAGTTTTGGGTAAACGGAATCACCGAACTGCCGCAGTTGGGAAGTCAAGGGTATATGAAGGGATAATGCAATAATAACCCTTAAGGGTGTTCCTCAGTTCTACTTGAGACTAAATGAATAATTTGAGATGTCTAAAAGAAAGAATGACTGATTGTAATAAAATATTTAGGAAATAATGCAATTAAAATTTAGTATTTTAAGCTCTCTGGAATTTCTTTAACCCATGGATGGTGCAATTCCGAATTGAAACCGAATGCCAGTCGTTAATTTCTTGCTGTGTGTGGTCCTCTTCAACGCCGGCTGTCAGTGTCAAGTTGCTGCTGTCCTAACTCCAACAAATTATGGACACAATAAAAAGTGGCAAGAGCAACAAGAACGAGTGCGACTACATGAGCGGCAACAACAAATGCAGCACGCGACACTTACACGAGTGGCAGCCACTTCCGTCCAGCAGATGCTCCACATCCACACTCACATCCACGTCAACTTCCAGTCCTAGTTACTATGTTCCTTACTACTGCTCCTATTACTGAACTACTCCTATGTCTGCTACTGGAAGGACTTTAAGCCTCGAGTGCTTACTTGTTGTTTTTATGGCAATGTGTGAGACTTTCGCATTGAATTAACTTGAGTGGTCGGCTAGCGAGGGCGTTCGTGTGGTCAGTGGCTGGCATTTATGGATCAGCCTGTCAGAGCTAGCACATTTGTCAAGTGTTTTCATTTACTGATGGATCAAGCTAGCTAAGCAACTGCCATAGAACTTTGAAAAGAACCAAGGACTGGTATTCAATGCAGAAGGAAATGCATGTGAAGCAGAAGAAATAACCAACTAGTTCATATTTTAAGTTAGGTATTAAAGTTTAGTTTAATTTAATATTTGTTGGGCGGTAACAATAAAATTATCTTAGCTAGAATATTTGTTTTGTTTAATGATAAAATTTTTTAATTCTTTGCTAAAATAATTATACAGATTAAAAGATTTCATTTATTTTTAAATTCAATAGGATGTATGTATATATTTTTTTATTTTCCCAATGGGAAAACTTTATTCTAAAAGTGCAGCTTTAGCCGAGTTCCGTAGTTTGAGTCTTATCATTTCCTTTGGCGTTCAGCCAGTCGAAAAGTTTCCTTTTCGCTATGCGGCATTTAAGGACACTCCCAGTTTCAGAAGTCATCAAAGAGAGATATGCGTGAAAGAAAGTGCCCCACTAGAATATGCAAAACAGGCTAAAAGAAGATTGGGTTAAGGGCGTTACATGGATATATATATATATGTTTAGATAGCAACTTGTTGCTTCGGTTTTGCAGCCCGAGCACGAGTTGTTGAAAAGTAAAATTATTAAAACTTTTTGAATTAACAAAGCGCCAACAACGAGCTAAATGACGTCGACGATGTCCGCGCAAAAAGTGAATTAAAAGGGGAATAAAAAGCGACAAAGTTAATTTATGCACAACTAGATACAAACAAGGATGTTGCAGGAATGGGACTGGGCGGCACGGAATGGTTGCAACTGTCGCTGAACTGTGGAAACGGAAAACTGAACGCCATATTAGATTCAAATGCATTTCCCTGTTGGTCGACACCTCCCGTTTCCGGTTGTGCCAGGGCGCCGCCCCTCTTTTGCCTCTTCTCCTTTACCCGCCCATTGCCTTCCGCACTCGCAACCGGAAATGAACAGCAAACTTTTCAATTGAGTTTTCCGCCTCTGCAGAGGAAGGCCACGATAAAGTTTCGGCATTATTTTTGTTTATTTTCTTGTTGATCCATAAAATACAGGCCCAACCAGCGACGTTAGAGAAGATTTGAGAAGGGGGTTTTTAGAATGTTTCCCTATAATCGGATTTTATTTTTATTTTACTGATTTTTTACTGCACAGATTAGGTTATAAATACAAAGAGTGGTCTATACATATATTTTTAAAATATTATATTACAAATCATTTATTAGAAATAAAGAAAATTCCTTTTTTTCTTTTAAAAGGTTATTCAAAAAATACGTATTTTTATATATTAATTTTTTATTTCTACTTCAAATAAGAAAGGTATTCGTAAGTCCACGCATTAGCCACTGTTTCTGAAAACAGCTTAGCTGGCCGTGGGTATTTGCTACCAAATTCCTAATTGAGCTTAACATTTCAGGCAGTTAGCATAAATTGACAACGAGCCGAAACTGAAACAAGAGTAGGAGCGAACGTTAATTAATTTGCGGACAAATCCTTTGTAACAAAAGCCAAAACTACAAGGTTCTGCAAACAATCAAAGCTCATAAATTCCGAACAAATTAAGCAGTCGAAACTTGGTCCCTAATCCAAGTCTCAGCTGGTGTCCAGTCGATGGTAATGATGGGTATTTACCAGGCAACCGGAAACAGGAAAACAGCAGCAAAACAACGCCAACAACGAACAGCACAACCCCCACACATCAATGGCAATCATGGAAATTGGACAGCTAAGTTTAGGCCCAGAACAAAGGAGAAGAAATAGTATAAAAGAGCTGGGAGAAGGGGATGGTTCAAACGGGCAAAAAGAAAACCCAGAAAATATATATATATATATGTTTTTAGGGCCTAAGGAAAATGCCGACAAAGCGAACAGAAAATCAACAGAGCCAAGCAGGCAATAAACTGCCTGACAAATGAAAATAAAAGTCCGGCCCGCAATGAGCCAAAGAGCAGCACAAGATACAAAATACGAAATACAACCTACGAGATACAAGCTACATCCTCCAAGGCGGCCAAAAGGCAAAATGAACAACCAGCAGCAGTTGATGCTCTTCCGTTGGGCGCCAGAGCTCCGCTCCGGGCACATCCGCTGCTGGTCATTTCAATCAATTTACCCGAACACACTCACATGAGCAGCTACAGACGGATGGTTCCATACATGCATGGCGGTGTATGTGCACTGAGAGAATTTAACTACTCAAATGTAGATTTGAAAATATTTTCAAAGCGCTTAAAGCAATCAAGAAAGGGTTTTATTAATGCATTCTGACCTATTTCCGATTAATATAAACTCGATTGGTTTTAAGGATATTGTTTTCTCAAGTTTTTATTCTCAGTGCTGGACGGGATTCAACTTTTTTTTAATAAAGGTTTGGTGGGGAAGCTCTACAGAAATTCGCTAGCCGGAAATGGCAGCCATGACGGAAACGAAGACACATTGTTGCTGCGGCCCCAAAGCGACGAATCAGCGTCTGTGTGTTGGTGGGGCTATGTATGGGTGTGTGCAAATGGTTAGACGCGCGCGTGTGTGCCTGTGAGAGAGGTGGAGAAGACATACATAAGCAGTTATTTGTCATGTAGCAAACTCTCAAAATACTTTATTCACACACACACAGAGTACCGTGCAATACAAAGAAATGTTTGCAGCTCAGCAAAACACCGGAAGTCGTAAAAAGTATTTCAATTTAGTGCAAAACGTCCTTGCCACCTCCTCCATCACTCCTACTCCCCTTGCTTGCCGACATCTCCTTCAGCTGCTACGCTGATTGAAGACATGGTCAGCACACTTTTTCCTCGTTTTTCCGGTGCTGTTTTTATGGGGGCACGTTTTTTTTACTCCTGCATATATCCAGCGATCCCGAAAACTGTGAAGCGGCAACTATGTGGTAGCGCACAGCATTATTGCATTAAAGCCATACAATGGTCGCTTACGTTTAAGCTAAAGACATTAAAGATTGCTGGGCAATTTTTTGGTGAATTAAAGGTTTTCTATCCACTTAACTGGATTTAAAAAAATCAAAGGTACGGAATATTTGAAGATGGATGTGGGAAATCTTATAAATCAGAAGAAAATATTTAATAACTTTTGCTAACTACTTTAAGTTAAGATAAAGGGCTAGAAACCTGAAATGATTAAAGGAAGAATCAGCATCCTTTGTTAAGGAATTATATATTAATTAAATTAGATATATAAAAGCTCAGAAAAAACGTAAACAATTCACTTTTTATTTTTTGTTTTGCACATACAAATTTAAATAGTATTTCTTACTCAATTTTATAAATATTTTGGAACATAGGTGCTATTTGGCTTGACTGATATTGGAACTACAACGACCCAAACCGCAAATGGAGCACATTGAATTATTTTTAAATGACTTGAGAGAGTGAAGGGACTGTGTAATGCGCTTTTCAACTTTTTGTTGGCGGGCCGTTAAACGCGGTTGACTGTAATGCCTCTCCAGGTCAAAACGCTTTGGACTTTTGCTGCGAAAACGAGATCTTTCCCGAGTTTGGGATCGCCGACTCTTTTGATGTTCCAATTTTTCTTTAATTTTACGTTTCTTTTCAAGTTCCAGTTGAAAAGGAGTTTTGACCTGCTCATCGAAGAACTTTTGCCAACGTTTAAGCATTGCTTCAGGTAGAAGGTATAGGTATAGTTATATTTTATAAGTTTTTTATTTAATTCCTACCTTCTAAATTGTAATCCTTGTCAAACACTAACTCATCTATTTCATCAGCTGAACTAACTTCTATTAGAGAGGTTTGAGACCGTAGAGCGCGTTTCAGTCTGGAGCCCATCTTTTCTTTAAGTCCCCCGAACTCCGCTTCGGTTAAGATCCTTTGGTAGGCAGTACTGCACCGACTCAATCGTATATTATGAAGCTGTTGCAGCATACCATCAGAAGCCCTGGCCGAATCACCATATTTTTTTAGTAACCATAAATCTTTGGGATCGGTGGGTGTTTTTTCCCGCAGCAGCAAACTAAATACTTTCTTTATCTGAGTAGCCTCTGGCCCCGCAAGTTCGGCAAGGTCGCTATCGTGAACCCCAGACTCAAGATCCTTAAGGAACGGAAGGGGTACGGAATTCCTATGAGATGGCAACCATTTAGTTTTTTCTGACTGACTTGATTGTAGACCATCGCCAGCTCCCAGTTCAGGGGATACTTCATCTTGCTCTTCATCGACCTCCTCATCTTCGTTAATGTGGTCAGAGAACTCAATGCTTGGTTCAAGTCCTACCATTCCTTTCTTCACCATAAGGTGTTCCCAAGAAATTTTATCATTCGAGGCAGATCCTTTTCGCTGAGTAACTCCCATTTTACCAATTCTGTTTGAGTCTAAAGAGTCCGTGGATTTTCTTAATATGCCTCGAGGGTTTATTGGTAAGACCACGGTTCTGGATTCTCTTTCTCTCAACAAATTGATCTTTTCCAGAGATTTGCTCATCTCGTGACTCGATGATTTTTGAAAAAGGTCTCCATCTATGTTTTTCTTTCTGTGACTTTTATATTTGTGTATTTTACTTATTTTTTTGGGTTTTTTCTGGACAATGTGACTACTTTCTTCACTTTGAATTCTCTTACTTTCTTTACGATCTTGAATATTTTCTTTACGATCTTGAATATTACTTTTATGGTTGTGGGATTGGCTGCGATTTTGATGGCGAACTTTAATTAGTCTCGTATTTTTTCTTCGATTTTTACTTTGACTTCGCGCTCTAGTGTGGCCGCGGATTTCGCTGGGACTGTTACTGCTACTTCTAATGCGGTTTTGATTTCTGACTTTACTGCGACTTCGTTTGCGACTTCGACTGCGACTTCTATAACTATTGTTAAGAGTCTTTCTAAAAAATTTCCATTTAAATTGATTTCCTTGGATTTTATTTATTATCGAGATTAGAGATTCTTCGAGGCGACATATCATGCGACAGTCCTTCCTTAAAGCTTCTCTCAACATCGATAATCTTAAGTTCCGTGTTTCTTTTTCCTCAAAGGCTTTTAGTGATATTTTTGAAACCTTTTTACTCCTTTCCTTTATTAATGAGTGCGTACTATATTTTATGTTGTCATCATTTTCAAAGGTTTTGGGGATACTATATGGTCCCTGGATGATGTGAGAAGTAGGTGGAATGCTTCTAATACAAGTAGGATTATGTTTTGAAATACTCTGATAGACTGAGAATAATGAGTTCGTGTCTGTCTGCATAGGACTTCTTTGTAGGGCTTTCTCGAAAGGTAGAAGTCCAGAAAATGTATTTTCTATGTTTCTTATATAAGTCTTCAAGTGCTTCCATGAATAGGGTGACTTTTTGGCAAGATTCTTGATTTTTTCCAGTTCATTTTTGAGGTAAAATCGCTTACTTTTTGTTATGCTCAAAGAACTTTGATTCAGCGTCAGGTCTTTGACTATAGTTAACTCTATTTGTTTTAATAGCTTATGAAAGTGTCGCCTCTTTCGCCTGTTTGAGTGCCTTTTCCTTTCGCGCTTCCTTCGTTTGATTAGTTCATTTAGCTGCTTAAGATTTTCTCTTCGATCTTTATAAGCTGCACACAATAGATCAAGGATCTTGCATTTGCGTTTGGCCAATCTACGAATCCGAATAGAGTTCTTCGGAGAACTTGACCCTGCCGTTCCTCTGGGGTTTTCAGCTGATTGACTACGTTTTGCAGATGTTTCATAAGGGTTTTTCGGATCGATAATGCTGTTGCGGTTCCTGAACTCGATTGCTCTGAGCGCCATTTTGTTATAAAAAATATTATTCTTAAAATACTTTATTTATTTTTTTAATTTTTCAACTTTGAGTACAAATGCCAAACAATATTGAAACTCAGATTGACATGTGTTCTTACATTTCCTTTAGTTTAACTAATTTAATCCTTAAAAAATTAACTAATTTTTAAGTATTAATATTTCACTCATTTGAATCCTTGGCTTAAAGTACCGATGGCAATATCTTTGTCAATATAATCCGGTTATCTTCCATTTTCCAATACCATCTTGGTGGCATCTAGTTCTGCTCTGGCAGTTTTTCCTTGTTTCGCCTCAATTTCAGCTTTGGTAATATATTTCAGAGACACGTCGTCTTTTCCCCGGATTCCTTTGCCTCTTCGCCTTGCCCTTTCGTTTCGGCTTGCTGCTCCGTGACTTTTCGCGTCTGGCGATTCACACGTTCCGGCCGGAATAGTGGGGCCAATTTCTGGCTTTTCCTCGGGCTAACACCAGATACGGCAACATTTTTATTTGGCTTCTTTCTTGTTGTCATTGGTTTTCGGTGCCGGAGCAACGTGACTATTAGTGCGCAATTTAACGCCTTTAATGTGTCTCTGAGCTGTTCGCCATTGCTTGGGGCACGTAGTTAGCATTCTGCAGCTGCAATCCGTAACACAAATTAATGATTTTGAAGCATCGACGAGGCTAAGATAAACAGAAATGAGAGCTGGACGGCAAACAAGCTGCCATGTGTATCACATAATACGGCAATTTAGCCAAAGATGCTGATGCATGTTTGCATCTCTGTGCGTCTTCTTGGGGCCAAAATGAATTTTGTAGTCGGTAAACAAGGTGCACGGTGAGAAAATAGTCAACTGAAAGTTAGTATGTCATACAAAAAAGATTACTTATTCGAGTAAGAATTTCCGTTTTTCGATACGATTGGTGTTATTTTTGAATTTAAAACTAATAATTTGACTTAAACATTTTCTCCTGTGTAACTCCCTTTATATGTGAGCTTGTTGTCAAAATATCAAATACGGATGACATTCCAAGTTATTTTCCATTGTGATTTATCTCCATCAGAGCGCTTGTTGCAGAAATTCAGGATTTCGGTCTGTGATTCCAATTTTGACCGCACGACCATGGTTTTAATTAATGCGTAGGATAAAATCAATTTGCAATATGACCGAGCGAACGAAGTTGCCGCAAGCTCCAAATTAATGTCTATGCCTTACACTGCAAGCAAGAATTTCTGCTCATTTAGTAGACTGGGCTCATAAATAATCAGCCAGTCGGCCAACGGTGCGTATGTGCGATCCGCAGCATGTCGCGTACAATGAGCAAAACGTGCTGCTCGTTTGTCACGTGCGGAGTCAGTAAATTGCAATAAGCGCCGCACCGCCAAGTTGAAATAAGTGCGAGCGAAGAAAGTGGTTTATTTTTCATGCCAAACCAAATAAAAGTGGAAGCACGAGAGTTGTCTCATCAATTTCTGGCATTTATCTGCGGGCAAAAAACAAAACGATGTTTATTTTTTATCTGAAGCAAACTTTTTCCAATCAGGTGAGATTAGAGGTGGCAACATATATTTTTGAATTTTATAAATAATAAAGAAGTTATGTATCTTTATAAAGAAAGATTTTTGTTCATATTTCAGGATGATAATCGAAAACTATTTTATACTTTTTATTAGCTCTTAATTTTATTAACACAATTACAAATTTAATAACACATATAAGTTGAGTTAAAACATATTAACATTTTCTAACAACATTTTCATTACATTTAAGCAGCCTTAGTTCTGCTCAAGGTGCTGAGCATCTCTTGAGGTATAATCTCAATCTTGGCAATTTCCTTTCATTTTTCTTGGAAAAAACTTTCCTCTTGGCTCTCGTTTATCATTGCGCTCGGCACGACATTCATTTTGGCTGCCTTGACTGTTTGCACGTTTTTTCATTTGTATTTTTTTGGAGGTGTCGTTGGCTCACATAGATTTAAGTGCTTTTCCCAGCTTCGACGGCTGGCTGCGGAAATAAAATTGAATTAACTCGCCATCAGAATGATACAATTTAATTATAAGCAGATACGTGATATTGGAACACTTTCTGTCAGGGTCAGTTAGCCGTATTTGTATATAGTAGTTTCAACCTATTTACTTCGCATTTAAGCGCCAAACGATTATAATTGTTATTGAAGACCATTAGCGATGCCCATGCAAAACATTTTAAATCATGCCACGGCGAACGAAAGTGCTCCATGGAGTATGTGTATTTTTTGCGATCATCGCCGTTTCGAATGGCAACAAAAATAGCAAAAATCCAATTATGCCCAAGCACGTATTTTCCATTAAGCAAACAGCAAATGGCGGCCAGCCGATAGCAGTCAGATAGCCACAAGCACATTATGGGCACAAGGTAGTACACTGTCCTGTTCCGGATTCCAATTTTGATTTACTTGATTCAAAAGGATAAAATTACTTAAATTTTAGCTATAATATTACTTTTTTAAGCTCTAAGAATTATGATAAAATACTTAAATCTGTTAATAACTGTGGAATACTAAGGACCATAAAATTAATAAGTCTTAGATTTTTATAAATAAAATATAATATATATTAAACCTTTTAAGGTTACATAATTCCTTAAGTTTTTCTTTTACCATCGAGTAAACCCAAATTGATAGCAAATAGGAATGGCCATTGGGTTTCCTTTTGAAAAGTAGTTGCAAATGGGAGCCGGACTGATAGTCTCGCCTTTTAATGAATCAGCTCCTGTTGCCACGTCTCTGGGTCTCCGTTTATTTCCAACAATTAAACCCATCAATGGCAGCATCAGCTGATGCGCTTAAGCCAGCCCCGAGACCATTAAGCCCAGTTTGAATGCCGCGAGCCAGAGGGCAGTGCGGAGGATGGAAAACCTGGGAAAAGCTTGTGAAAAACCTGGGAAATCCAGGAGGTGGAGTGCCTCAGCACACATGGCAGTGCACACTTGACATTTCAATTTCCGCATGCACCCCGAGAACTCACAACAAAGCAGAGAAACAGTAGCAGTAGCAACAGCAGCAGCTCGAAACACAAAAAAAAAAAAAAGAACGAAAGAACTGTAGCCAATTCCATGCGGGCAACGTCGCAAAGTTGCTTTCAATTACCCAGTCAGGACACGCTTGCTGCCTTTTGTTTTTTGCATGCCCGGCACGCCCCCTGGCTCCTCCCACCCCGCCAACTGCCACCCACTTCTTACGTCCCCGGCGACAGTTGTACAGTTCTTCAGTCTATTCACATTTTACGCTTTGTTGCTGGCCCGAAACCATCGCTGACTGTCTGCCACTGCTGCTGCACTTTATTAAGCCCGCTGAACTTAAGTTAGAGTATCGCAATCTTTCACAATAAATTAATACCCTTTTAGCGTAATAAGTCCTGAAGTGGTTCTTAAGTAAATTCAGAAGTCAGATCGAATCGGAAGAAACCAAACTGTGGACTTTTCTCCACAGCTGAGTTTTCAAGTTATATTCTGTAATTGAATTGGATTTTAAAATTACTTATAAAAGAAACTGAGCTTTAGATCCGACCATATATGTATCTTTAACCTTTAACTAGTGATTTGTGTGTGATTTAAATTTGAGAATGAGTTAGCTTAATTTAGTACTCTGCGTTATATACAATTTTTTAGTATTTTTACTACCTAAAAATATTTTAATAAAAATCTTGGAATTCCACATATTCCTCCCAATAATACCCATTTTACTTAATTTTGTTCGATCTACGAAATTAGTCTCTCCTTAAAGTTAACGAAATGCAGCTATAAAATGTCCATACTGGCAGATCTTTTAAAGACTACATGATGGCTTCTTTAGCTCGACAAAATGTAAGAAGAAAGGCTGCAGCAAGGAGTGGGAGTTGGCGGGGTGAATGCAGGTGACCCGGCCACTTGAGTCCCATGAAGTGGACAGGGCGAAAAGCTGTCAAGTGGCATTAATAACAAAAGCCATCTCAGAGATACGGGATAAGCACCTGAAAGTATGCGCTTTCTGTCTTCTCAGAGACCGCCCCTTTAGTTGCCCTTTCACATTTCGCTACGCTTTCGATTCGATTGGCGGACGACTTTGAATTATGCTAATTTACTTTTATCGCTTCGCCGGCAAAGTCAATTTAATTGTAATTTTCCAACGCGCAACGCATTTTAGTTTTATTTCCGTCCGCTCTCTTTTCAATTTTTGCCCGGCGCGCCTTGCATTTTCATGAGAAATAATTTAATTTGCCTTTTCCACTTCGACGTCCACTTTTCAAACTTTGCTTTTGCCACTTCCTTTGCCAGCTTAGTTGTCCGCCTCCGTTTTTCTCTATATATATATATCTGTCTGCGGCTCCTCTCCTCTGCCGTGTATCATTTGGAAATTCAAAGCTCGTACTATTTTTCCTTCATTATTGAAAAGGCGGGAAAAGAAAAAAGAAAAGTTGGGGCCAGCGCATAAAAGTGCCATTGAAAGTAGCTGCCAGGCGGGCTCTTTCAGAATAATGCGATTGGGGGCGCGAACTGCCACGCTTTGCCGGATTCCGGTCCGCTCTTTCCGGTCCGGTTGGGTCGAGCATCCGCCCACGACGCCGCTGTCTAAGTGGAAAAAAGGTTTTGTCACGGCTAAGCACTTTTCAAATTCACAAGGGTCGCATCCCCCTTCTTTACCGAAAACGCCAACGGCAGCTGCTGTCCGCTGTCCGCTGTCCACTGTTCACTGTCCGGAGTCCACAGCCCGGAGTCCACTGTCCGTTTTTCGTTGTCCGGAGAGCAAGGGCCACAGGCCACAAACCGCGAAGCGGCTCTCGTCTCGCCTTCTTCTTAGTACCTCTTATTAGTTGAGTCTCTCGAGCTTATCTGAGCTTCAGGAAATGCTTTCCATTGAGTACTTATTATAACTTAAGTATATTATTTATCATAGATGTTTTATTTAAACTCTGTTTATTGTTGTAAATTTATTCTGTGTAATGTAAAATTAAATCAAAATGGTTCTAGTAATACAAAAAATTAAACCACATATTTAACGAAATAATTCCTGGGTACCGTACAGTCTAATCACTACGCAGATTTCGTTTATTTCATTTGATTTCAATGGCTTATACACAATTTTTATGGCTAAGAGCAACGCTGGCGGCTGAG